AGCCTCCTGACTGGAGCAACTGACCCACAGGCGACTGGCCACTACCGGAGATTGTAGCCTCCGGACTACTGGTGCTGCTAGCGACACGACTGCTACCTCCGCTCAACCTCCGCCAACTGCCCCACGCCCCTATTACACACCCCCTGATGAACCCCTAGCTCTGCTCACCTGCCACCCCCCTGGTACCAATCCAACTCCGACGGCTCCAACACATCCACCCCCCTCAGCGGCAGCTGCAGCAGTGGGAGACGGAGGAGGAGGAGGAGCAGGGGACGGCGCACACACCCGTCACCCCCATACTCGCCATCCCCACACTCGCCACCCCCAAACCCTAACTCGGGAAGCATGGGGCAGGAGCGCGGGGGACGGCCCGCGGTTCCCCAGGGTGCCGCGACAAGGTAGCGTGGGGCCGCTTCGGGGTAGTGGGGGGTCGCGCGCGGCTCCCTAGGGCGTCGCGACGAGACGGCAGGGGCCGCGCGCGCCTTGCCAGGGCGCCGCGACAGGACGGCAGGGGCAGCGCGCGCCTTGCCAGGGCGCCGCGACAGGACGGCAGGGGCAGTGCGCGCCTTGCCAGGGCGCCGCCACAGGACGGCAGGGGCCGCGCGCGACACCTTAGAGCGTCACAACGGACGGGCGGGAGGCGCGCGCGGCTCCCCAGGGCGCCGCGACGGAACAGCGGGGGCGGCGCACCAGGAGGGAAAGGTGCCGCGCGCCCCGGGGCACGCGCCAGAGAGTAAACCGCCGCGCGCCGGAATGAAAAATACGTCGCACGCCACGGGGCGTGCGACATATCGAGTAGCAGCGGAAATAGGTTGGTGGGCCCACAGGCCACGGAAGGACAGGCTCTGATAGCATATCAGAAGTAAGCAGAAAAGTTTAGAACAAGAAAGAGAATTGCACTACTAAGCAGGGTAGTACTGTTGAAAGTTAAGCAAGAAGTTTAGCAGCAGAAAGAGGGGTTCACTAGTAAGTAGGGCAGTACATATAGCAAACCCTAATTTGGGTTGTACTCACTATAGAGTACCCCACTGCAGACTAGACAATGATAACATTCTGACACACCCCCATAGTCAAAATGGGGTATAATCAGCAGAGCAAGCAGTCATAGAGCAGGTTCATAAGTGCAAACAAAGCTAGTGGCTATCACAGAGGGCAAGTGAGGAGGAGGAGAGACTGTGGGGGAGAGAAGATGGGAGGCGACTGCTGAAGCTGTAGACACACAAGAGCTGCTGCCTCAGTGGCTACCGAAGCAAAGGCCTGGACTACAGGGGTGTAACTGGCTCCGCGGAGATTGTAGCCTCCTGACTGGAGCAACTGACCCACAGGCGACTGGCGACTACCGGAGATTGTAGCCTCCGGACTACTTGTGCTGCTGGCGACACGACTGCAACCTCCGTTCAACCTCCGCCAACTGCCCCACGCCCCTATCACACACCCCCTGCTGCACCCCTAGCTCCACTCCCACGACACCCCCCCTTAAACCCTAAACCCTCGGCTCCCACACACCCACCCCCCTCAGCAGTAGCTGCAGTAGTGGGAGACGGAGGAGGAGGTGCAGCTTACCCACACCGGTCACCCCCATGCCCGCCACCCCCAAACCCTAACGCAGGCAGGAGCGCGGGGAGCAACAGGGACGGTTCACGGAGGGAAAGGGAGGCGGCGGGGGGTCTCCTGGGCGCCACGAAGGAGCAGGGCGCGGGCCCCCCGAGGGCGCCACGGCGGGTGACGGGAGGGGGGCCGCGCGCGGGCCTGGCGCAGCCCGTACGGGCCGCGCGCGGGCATGGCGCAGCTCGTACGGGCCGCGCGCGGGCTGTACGGGCCGCGCGCAGGCCTGGCGCAGCCCATACGGGTCGCGCGCGGGCGTGGCGCAGCCCGTACGGGCCGCGCGCGGGCCTGGCGCAGGTCGCGCGGGCCGCGACGGGCGACGGGGGGCGACGCCACGGTCGGCAGGGGGCGACGCGCGGTTCGACGGGGCAGAAAACCGCCGCGCGCTCGGGGCGCGCGGCGGGAAGAAAAAATCGATGCGCGCTCGGAGCGCGCGTCACGCAGGAAACAGCACGCACCCGGGGCGCGTTACAGGCAGTAGAGCACCGGAAGCATCGGGTGGGGCCCACCCACAGGATCGACCGAGGAGGGTCGACCTGCTCTGATAGCATGTTGAAAGTTAAGCAAGAAGTTTAGCAGCAGAAAGAGGGGTTCACTAGTAAGCAGGGCAGTACATATAGCAAACCCTAATTTGGGTTGTACTCACTATAGAGTACCCCACTGCAGACTAGACAATTATAACATTGTGACATTTGTGTGACTCAGGGGAAGTGTCCGGGGGAGCGTAAGTGAGGTTGAGTTCGCGTATGACCGGGTTTGTGGCAAGCATAACTCCGCAATCTCGGAGCTGTCCTGCCTACAGTAAGTTGAAGTGGAGATCTGGAACATAGAGCACATTGTTGAACGAGATGTGCGTGTTGCTGTCTCGGGCCTGCAGCACCACGATGCCTTGCGCATTGGGGCGTAGTTGTTCGTTGTTAGCGACGGTGACGTAGGTTGCGGGAGCGCGGCTAATGTTCGAGATGTATCGAACAGACCCCACCATGTTCTGACCGCAGCAGCTGTTCAGGTACCAGGTTTAGCACAAGCCGCGGGGTCACTAATGTTGTTTTATACCTCCTGTGAAATGAAGGATCTTCGTCCTCTTTCCACCCCACGAGGACGAAGCGCTAATGATCGTGCGGTGGGCTTTCCTGCAGCTATATTGGCTGATGCCAATCTTGCTCTTCCTCATCATACGCGTAGTAATGGTCTTCTGTGAAGGGGGTTGTTCCACCCTTCTTCAGGTTGAATAAGCCCGACGCGAGGTTCTTCCTCTTCGTCTGGCTCAGCAGCGCGAGGGCGACGCCTTGTCGCCATGTTTGCGATTACGTTTCTAAGAGCTCCTGCTTGAGATCCTTGTGTCTGCTGTTGTTGGTGTTGTGCAGGGGGACAAGAGTTTGATGATGGGGCTGAGAATGACGAACGTCTTGTCGGCCAACCCAGTTGTTATGGTGAGTGGAATTCGGGTGGCGATAGTTGGATCAGGATTTGCATCGATTCGTTGAATACTCGAAGACTTTGCATATTTTGCAAAAATCGCGCCTTGGTTGTCGTTGCTCTTTACGGTTGTCTGTGTAGAAGGCAAGGCCCTCTCGGCGCGGCGCGGAGCTTGTCATGCTTGAGTCCATGTCCTGTTGTTCAGTCCAGAGGGCGGCGCATAGCGCGGCTTTTGAGATGGTTCCTCGTTGTCGGAGTAGCGCTTTGCAGGGCTTCCACTCCGGCCCGAGTCCGTGGAGGATGATGTTGACGAAGATCTCCTCCGAAATGGCGCTTCCATGCTTCGTGATCTGGTCACGGATATTTAGACAACGGTTAATGTATGTGTTTGCCTTCTCTCCCCGTGCCCCATCTTGGTCTCCATGAGTTGCTGCAGGAGCCTGCTGGCAGCGACTGAGTCATTCGACTGATATACCTCAACGAGGTGCTTCCAGACTTCCAAGGCTGGAGTGGCGCTCTTTTTGTAGGAGCAGATGCCAGGCTGTTCCGCAGGCGTCATGTTGCATAGCAGCACACTGTATGCCATGGGGGACTTGCTGTAGTACCGAGCCCTGGCGTCGTCGATGTCTTCCACCCGTTTAGGATACAAGCTGTCAAAATAGTGGTAGATCTGCGCTCTTTGTAGGAGGAGCTCAAGCTCAGACCTCCATGTATAAAAATCCTTGCGGTCAAACGTGGCAACAGTCTTCATTTTTGAGACGCTGAGGAAGCGTGCTTGCGCAGAGTTGATGGTTTCGTCACTTGGACGAGGGGCTGTTGTTGTGGATTTGTCCGAGACGAGGGAGAATTTGTGCGCGGCGGTATCGCGACTTTTTGCAGCCGGTTGTCCAGGTTGAGCTGGTTGGGAAGAGGTTCCCGCATCGCCTTAGCGCAGTTCTTGGAGGTCTTTCTCCATAGTTGATAGTCGCAAAAACAACTGCTCGAGTGCGGCAGTGCTGATCGTGGTTGTCGTTTGATTTGTCACAGCCAGGTTGGTTTGTCCTCCGGCCGTCTGATTCACTTGGCCTCCGGATCCTCCGACCATCTTGGTCTTGGAGCGTGTGCCGCTCGCCAGATCTTGGTTCGGCGAACTTCACGGAAGTGAAGTTGCGAAGAATCCTTGAGTAGCTCTCATACCATGTTACAATCCCAAGTGGGACTTAGCGAAGGATCGCTCAGGGTTGATCGCAGGGTAGTTTTTGCAGCGGAAGTGTTGAACACCAGATCAGAGTGAATGTAAATGACTGAGACTGATAATAGCATGCATACATCGAGATTCTATATGAAATACACCGGAATGCGAAATGACCTAGACTAGCGATGTAAGGGGTACATTCCCATATCGCAGCGAATTCAAACCGTGCGGCGCGGGAACCCGTTTCAAACCTGTTCCCGCTCTTTTTAGTTCAAATGTTTCTGCATGCATCGGTCTTGGTCATACTGTTGCTGCGTCGCTTCGACTCTTCTGATTCCTCGACTTCGTACTCAGTAGGGTCGGCCCCTGCATCACACAGAAATGCCTTCTCATTAAACTTCATATCGTAACAGATCTGCTGCAAGCCTTCTAAGGTCTAGAACGATCTATTGTACAAACTGAGGAAAGTAGAACGAGAATGGAATGACTAAGGAATGGAAGTGACACAAATATGCAACCCTAGAAATGTGTACCCCATATAGGCTACCCCACTATAGCCTACACAATATTATAATTTGACACACCCCCATAGGCAAAGTGGGGGAGAACAAGGGGTCACAAGACCAGTCAAGCAAAGCAGACAAAGCTCAGGGTGGATCACAACGTCACCACACAGTCCGAGCACAAGGTCAAGGCAACAAGGCCAGTTCACATGCAGGAGTACACACATATATATATATATATATATATAAGACTAAACAAGCAAGAGCAGGTATATATATATGTAAGAGTACAAGCAAGGTCAAGGGGTGAGCAAGTGAGGCAAGACAGGCACAAGACCCAGCTGAGTGCAGAAGCGCTGATGATCACAAGGCGGAAGTGCCTTGGTGAAAACATCAGCAGTGTTGGCCTTAGAGGCCACGTACGCAAGTCGCAACTGACCACGTTGCTGCAACTCACGAGCAAGAAAGTAGCGGAGAGCAATGTGCTTCGTTCTGTGCTCCAGGCGCTGCTCCCGACACAAGGCCAGCATGGCCTTGTTGTCTACGTACAGGACTGGAGGAGAACGAGGCGGCTCTCCAAGGTCAGTCAGCAGGTAGGTGAGCCAGCGAAGCTCCTGAGCAGCCATGGCCCTGGCATAAATCTCAGCCTGACAACTGGAGCCGAAAACAGAAGACGAGCGAGTAGCCCGCCACGAAACAGAGCCGGAACCAAGACTGAAGGTGTAACCCTGTGACGACCGCTGCGTAGCCTGGTCGTCAGCCCAAGAAGCGTCCACGTGCCGAGTGAGAACCACTGGACTCCGCCCTCCAAGCACTAGCCCCATGCCCGACGTACTGCACAAGTAGCGCAACACCCTCTTCGCTGCAGCCATGTGCTCTCGTCTGTGTCTCCCAGGAGCAACATAGTGTGCAAGAATGCTAAGAGGGTATGCAAGGTCAGGTCGTGTGCAGGTCATCAGGTACATGAGGCAGCCAACAAGCTCTGGGTACGGGCCACTCGACTCTACGGACTCATCCGAAGGCAGAGCTGAGAGCGAGTGGCGGGTAGACAGAGGAGTGGCCTGAGGCGAGGAATACGTGAAGCCGAAGCGCTGAAGGACCTGCTGCACCATATGTGACTCAGTCAAGGTAATGGTGCGGCGTGCTCTGTCCCGAGTGATCTGCAAGCCAAGGTAGCTGCGCAGTTCACCCAGGTCTGTGCACGTGTGTCTCTTTTGCAGCTCGGACTTCACGTGGGCGAGTCCAGCAGTGTCAGCTGTGGCAAAGACCAAGTCGTCGACGTACACAAGGATGTAGAACGGCGGCAGAGAGGTGTCGGTGCGCAGAAACAACGACGGGTCAGCAGTAGAGGGAGCAAACCCAAGAGCCGCAAGCGTAGTCCTCAGTGTGTCGTGCCACTCGCGCGGTGCCTGGCGGAGACCGTAGACTGGCCATCGGAGGCTCCACTGGGTGCCAGGAGGGAAAGTCCCAGTGAAGCCAGGTGGGCGGCGCAGCCAGATCTCCTCGTTCAGGTTACCCTGCAGGAAAGCAGTGCTGAAGTCAAGGGAGTGCAGCTCGTAGTCACGCTGAGCGGCTATGTGTAGCAGCACCCAAAGAGTGGTCATCTTCGGGGTGGGAGAGAAGGTCTAAAAGTAGTCAACTTCCTGCCGCTGACTAAAGCCACGAGCCACGTACCGCGCCTTGAAGACAGGTGGAGAGCCCGGCGGCCGCTTCACCCTGAAGATCCACATGCCACTGACGATGTTCGCCCCAGGAGGAGGAACCGCGTCAACGTAGGTGCCTGTGGACTTCCAGGAAGCCATCTGTGCATCCATAGCTGCCTGCCACTGAGAGGAGTAGGGACCCTCTACGGCCTCCGCGTAAGAGCGCGGAGTCGGGATGTCTAGTGCATCCGGGTCTCCCTCAGGGGTAAGCAGTACGGACGCCAGATGAGGTGAAGCAGCAGCCAGATACTGGAACTCCTCCTGCCTGTCCTCAAGGACGTCCGTGTAAAGAGCACACTCACCCCCGACGGACGGAGGACAGACAGACGCAGACTCAGCAACAAGACTAGCAGCGTAGTCTACACGACAGCGAGCAGCAAAGTCGACGAGCTCAGCAACAAGAGCAGACGCAGCAGTGGACTCAAAAGAGGGGTCAGTGACAACAGTAGCAAGGAGAGGCGTGACGGTAGGACTGGCAGCACGAAGAGAGTCCGACTCCGGGTCGGCAAGCGCAGGAAGAGAGGACTCAGGAGGAGAAGCCAAAGGGACACGCAGAGGAGTAGTGGACGGACGCAGAGACATCCAGTGCGTGCCAGGGACAGGAGGAGGACGCTGACGCGAACCGCGACCACTAGCGCGAGCAGCACGAACAGGCTCACGACGCTCAGCAAGACCTCCAGTAGGACCAGTGTAAGGAGAGGGAGCAGGCAGTGGGGAGGCGCGCGGTAACTGTGACTGTGACTGGACAGGCTGTGGACACTCTAAGGAAGGAGGAGGACCAGTAGAAGGCGGGAGACCAAGAACCTGCTGAAGGAGCGGAACGAAGTACGGCCGAGGCCGCGCGGCGACTCCAGACACAGCAGGGACAGCACCAGCGCCAACAGCACCTCCAGCTGCAGGACCTCCAGCAGTACCAGCAGCACCCGAAGCAGGACCACCGCTAGGACGGACAGCAGTAGCCTCAACGCCAACACCCTCAACAGCTCCAGCTCCAGTCGTACCCGCAGGCCCAGCAGCCCCAGCACTCCCAGGACGAGCACCTCCGGGACCGGCAGCACTAGCACCCTCAGCGGCCGAAGAAGCTCCAGCTCCAGCAGTACGCCTCCAGCGCCGGGCAAACCACTCGCGCAGCTCCTGTGGAGAGAGTGGCTCCCGCCGAGACGAAGCACCCGGAGAACCTCCAGGCCCAGCACCGCCAGACGCCACACGAGCAGGTCCAGCGGCCGCTGGCTCCGCACCACCAGGCTCAGTAGCTCCAGACGCAGCACCCCCAGGCTCAGCAGCTCCTGACGTAGCACACCCAGGCTCAGCACCCCCAGTCGTAGAACCCCCGGGCTCAGCACCCCCACTCGCAGTACCCCCAGGCTCAGCACCCCCAGTCGTAGCACCCCCAGGCTCAGCACCCCCAGTCGCAGCACCCCCAGACTCAGCACCCCCAGGCTCAGCACCCACGCGCGCAGCACCCCCAGAGTCAGCACCCCCAGGCTCAGCACCCGCAGCAGTACCAGAGTCACCAGCAACCTCGACCGGCTCGACTGCGTCTACCGGGGCAGGACCTGAAGGGGGGAGGGGGTCTACCGTGGGGGGACGTGGCACAAGGAAGTGCGGTGGCGGGGGGAGGGAAGGAGTGCGGTAGGGGAAGAGGCGGTAGTAGGGGACTGACTCGTCGAACGTGATGTCCTGGGAGGACAGAACACGACGAGAGGTGGGGTGGTAGAACTGCCACCCTGGCGCGTCAGGGGGGAAGCCAAGGAAGACACAGGGAGCAGCACGAGGGGACAGCTTGTCCGCAGACAAGTCGCGGACAAACGCCCGAGATCCCGAGACACGGAACTCAGACGCATCGCCGACATTCCCCGTCCACAGCAAGGCTGGGGAGGTCTCTGGCCTGGAGACCCTGGGGTGAAGGTTGATCTGATGCGCCGCGTACTGAACCGCAAACGGCCACAGAAAATGGGGGGCAGCCGCATGCATCATGGACGTACGAGCGACGTCCATGACCATGCCAATGCGGCGCTCAGCAATCCCATTTTGCTGTGGAGAGTCAGGAAGCGTAAAGGTCTGGCGGATGCCTCGCGCACGACAGTAGGCTCGCAGAAGGCCAGAGGAGAACTCTCTGCCTCGGTCAGAGTGCAGACGCAGAACAGGAAAGTCCGAGCCGAAGCTACTCCTGAGCTGAAGACGAGCTGCGCGGATCCAGTCGATCAACACCTCAGTGACCTCACCCTTGCTGCGCAAGGGGAAGACTGTGGTGTAACGCGAAAAGTCGTCAACCACCAGCATGAAGTAGCGCTCGTGACCCTGTCCACGGACGCGGGCTGGGCCCCACACGTCCATGTGAAGCGTCTGCAGCGGGGCCTCTGTCGGGGGAAACTGAGAGGAGTGAGGGGCAGCCCGGAGCCGCCCCTCGACACAGGGGACACAGGAAGGACAAGGCCCCGGAGGAAGGGGAGGGAGGGACCGGGGAAGACCAGAGACAAGGACACGGGAAGCCATGCCTCGGAGACGAGGCAGGGAGGGGTGACCAAGACGGTGGTGCCACAGGAGAGTCTCGTGAGACAGGAGGCGACACGAGCAGGGGGCAGACTCAGGACTAGACCTGGACGCTGCAGCAAACACCTGACCCGTCGCAGCTACCTGGCCAGAAGCAGGGACAGGAGGGGACCCAGTGGTCAGGGTGTAGAGGCTCGACCCCGGCCGACGCAAAAAGGTGGCCAGGTGCCGGCCCGTGCGAGCGTCCGAGCAGTGGGTCACCCGTTGACTCGCAGGAGTAAACTGGTGAACCCCCGTATCCTGCAGGTCAGCACCACTCAGACAAAGTGCCAGAGGGGGCTGCCAGACATGGGACGACAGTGGAGAAGTGAGAGAGGACAGGACCCCCAGAGGGGTCTCCCACGGAGACTGCAACTGGCCGACCAAGCGGCGTGAGTGTGGTGCCGTCTCGAAAGAAGGAGTGAGAAGCCCCGGAGTCAAGTGTGAAGGTGAGGGAGGCCGAAGCCGACCTGGTACCTGAGAGCGCAGACTCACCAGCACCTGAGGGCGCAGACGCACTGGCACCTAGAGCAGCAGCCTCACCAGCACCTAGAGCAGCAGTACCAATGCCCGGGTCGGGCGGGAAACACCGGTAACAGTCACCCTCATCACTTATAGTCACAGCATACATGGCAGCAAGGATAGCATCAAAGTCAAGATCATAGATAGCTACGCCTGCCCTAGACAGCTCTCCCCAGTGGGGGATCTCACTAGCCTAAGGGAACTGCTGACGCCAAGCGTCCGTCAGGCGGCCAAAGCAGTGCTGGGTGGGGTGGGCACCCCCACACTACTCACCCGCGCGCTCGCCGGAGCGAAGGACGTAGGTGCACGGGCCAAAACCCCCACCACGCTGACGCTGCGTGTACCACTCACGGAGCTGCTGAGGAGTGGGGATGTCCCGAGAACGCTGCTGCTGCTGCTGTTGCTGGCGCTGACCACCCCCGGAGCCGCTCCGCTGCGAAGCACCACTCGGACCAGCTCCACCTCCTCCACCACCGCCGCCTCCACCTCCGCCACCACCGCCGCCTCCGCTCCCACCGCTACCGCCGCCGCCGCCTCCGCCTCCGCTGCTGCCACCGCCACCTCCACCCCCGCCACCACTCCCACCGCCACCCCCACTCCCTCCGCCGCCTCCACCGCCACCTCCACCATCCCCGCTAGCTCCACTCGCGCCCTTGCCCCCCTTTCCCTTGCCAGAGCGGCGTCTCCCACTAGGGGCAGACGCCGCACCGACCGACTCAAGACCAACGAGGTCGGCCGCAGCAGCAGAGGCGACAGAGGGCAACAGGGGGGAAGAGGAACACCCCTCAAAGATGGGGGTGGGAGGGTCACCACGAGAGGCTCCTACAGCGACTATGCTCTTCTCCGCTGCTAGGAGGGCCTTCTCTAAGAGGTCAACAGTGAGAGTGGTGGGACAGACTGAGAGGAAGTGGTCCCTGACTACGCGAAGGGAGTTAGGGAGGCGGGTGACTATATAATAGAGAGTGATGTACATGGGGGGGGGGTTCTTGGCGCAGAACTCAGTAGGAAGCACGGCGCGGTAGCGAGTGTCACTAGTGCGGAGGTGCGTAATGAGGTCAGCGACTATGGGAAAGGCAGCAAGGTCAGGAAAGAGGTACGGTAGCATGAGGCGGCTCAGTGTAGCAGTGGCAGGGGAAGAGTAGCGTGCAACTACAGCGTCGTACAAGGTCTGAGCACTCTTGTACTGACTAAAGTGCGCGCGCTCAGTGGTAGGCAGGTGGCGACGCACAGCAAGACGTGCAGCAGCATCGCGAGTGGCCCACTGGGAGCGAACAGTGGCGTCGGCATCAGCAGCAGGGGCAGGGGAAGCACCAGAGGTGAGGTCAAAGAGGGAGAGACCGTCTGCCCTATCGCACTGTAGGAAAAGCTGCAGGTCATCTACCCAAACCTCAAAGTCAATGGCTCGACCCTCAGCGTCAAAAGCGAAAACACTGGGGGTAGCCATGACAGCAGTAGACTAGCAGTACCAATTGTAGGACAGGGGCAGTGCAGTGACAGAAGCGCTGCTCTCACCAGGCAGGGCGGGTCGGGCAGCTCAGCAGTACAGCAGCACGGCAACCCGGCTGCTCGGACGGCACAGCACCAACTGCGGCTCCGTGGCACCAGCGGCTCGGCTCCTCAGGCGGCTCGGGCGGCTCAGATGGCTCGGGTGGCTTGGGCGGCTCGGGCGGCTCGGGTGGCTCGTGCTGGTCGGGCGGCTCGGGCGGCTCGGGAGGGTCGGGCGGCTCGGGCGGCTCAGGCGGCTCGGGCGGCTCGGGCAGTTCGGGCGGCTCGGGCGGCGCGGGCGATGTAGGGCGGCGGGGCCGCTGGTGAAGGGGCGGCATGGCCGCTGGGAAGGGCGGCGGGGCCGCTGAGTAGGGCGGCGGGGCCGCAGTAGAAGGGCGGCGGGGCCGCAGCGAGAGAGGCGGCGGGGCCGCAGTGAAGGGCGGCGGGGCCGCTGCGTAGGGCGGCGGGGCCGCAGTGAGAGAGGCGGCTGGGCCGCAGTGAAGGGCGGCAGGGCCGCTGAGTAGGGCGGCGGGGCCGCAGCGAGAGAGGCGGCGGGGCCGCAGTGAAGGGCGGCGGGGCCGCTGAGACGGGCTGCGAGGCCGCTGAGACGGGCGGCGGGGCCGCTGAGACGGGCGGCGGGGCCGCTGAGACGGGCGGCGGGGCCGCAGCGAAGGGCGGCGGGGCCGCAACGTGAGGCAGCGGGGCCGCAGCGAAGGGCGGCGAGGCCGCGAAGAAGGGCGGCGGGGCCGCTGAGACGGGCGGCGGGGCCGCAGCGAACGGCGGCGGGGCCGCGACGAGGGGTAGCACGGCCGCAGCGAAGGGCGGCAGGGCCGCGAAGATGGGCGGCGGGGCCGCAATGTGGGGCGGCGGGGCCGCAGCGAAGGGCGGCTCGAAGAGGTGAGAGCCCGGAGCGCGACTCGGGCTGAGCGCGCTTCGGGCAGGAGAAAAAAAAGATCGATGTGGTGGGCCCTAGGCACAGTTCCCACGGGGGAACCTGCTCGATACCATGAGGAAAGTAGAACGAGAATGGAATGACTAAGGAATGGAAGTGATACAAATATGCAACCCTAGAAATGTGTACCCCATATAGGCTACCCCACTATAGCCTACACAATATTATAATTTGACACTAAGCCTAAAGTATGTCTGTTCGCGCATGCTGTATCTTCGCTGAGAACCAGTTGAATGGAGGGAATCGCGTAAAGTTGGACGCGTCTGTAACATTCCGTCCATGTTTTAGGTTGTTTCGTAATGTAGCAAACAGATTACTGATATCTCATTGTAGTCACTATTTGAAAATTATCACGCATGAACGTTAAGTCCGTTTTGATTTCGTTTTTGTCACAAATTTTATCAATTAATTCAATAACGAATCCAAACTAAATGGCACATTCTTTTGTCAGAATCCCAACCACTAGACCATTGCGATAAAAGGGCTTGTTAAGTAGCGGGTGAGTGCGCCCATTGTCAGATTTATATGACTTAGCTACTGTAGGCTAAAGTGGGGTAGCACATATGGGGTACAGCTTTCTAGGTTTTGTACTTGTACCCAACTTTCCCTTAGTCATTTCATTCTCGTTTCAGTTCTCTCATGGTATCGAGCAAGTTCCCTCGTGGGAACTGTTCCTAGGGCCCACCGTTTTTTTTCCTGCCCGGAGCGCACTCAGCCCCTGCCCGAGTCGCGCTCCCCTCTCTCTCTACCTCTAGCGGCCCTATCGCGCCGCCCTTACGGCCCCGCCGCGTCGCGCCGCCCTTGCGGCCCCGTCGCGCCGCGTTCACGACCCCCCTCGCGTCGCGCCGCCTTCGCGGCCCCGTCACGCCGCCCTCGCGGCCCCTTTCGCGCCGCCCTCGCGGCCCCTTCGCGCCGCCCTCGCGGCCCCTTCGCGCCGCCCTCACGGCCTCTTCGAGCCGCTCTCGCGGCTCTGCGCCCCACCCTCGCGGCCCCGGCGTCGCTCTTACCGGCCCAGGCGCCACCCCTACCGGCCCCGTCGCCCTACCCTCGCGACCCCGCGGCCCCACCCTCGCGGCGCCGGCCGCCACCCTTCGTGGCCCCGCCGCCGCCCTTAGCGGCCTAGTCGCCGCCCCACCCGGCCCTCCCGCCGTCCCTTCAGCAGCTCTGCCGCCCTTCACGGCCCCGCCGTCACCACCGAGCCGCCGTTGCCGCTTTGCTGCCGAGCCGCCGCTGCTGCCGAGCCGCCCGAGCCACCCGAGCCGCCCGAGCCGCTGAGCCGCCAAGCCGCAGTTGCTGCCGAGCCGCCGAGCCCCCGAGTCGCCGAGCCGCCGAGCCGCCAAGCCGCCGAGCCGCCCGGGCCGCCCTATCCGGTAAGAGCGGCACCTCTACCACTGCGCTGCCCTTAGCCTACTGCTCGCGCTGCTAGTCTACTGCTGTCATGGCTACCCCTAGTGTCCTCGCTTTTGACGCCGAGGGTCGGGCCATTGACTTTGACGTCTGGGTAGATGACCTGCAGCTTTTCCTACAGTGCGATAGGGCAGACGGTCTCTCCCTCTTTCACCTCACTTCTGGTGCCTCTCCTGCCCCTGCTGCTGATGCTGACGCCACTGTTGGCTCACAGTGGGCCGCACGCGATGCTGCTGCACGTCTTGCTGTGCGTCGCCACTTGCCTACCTCTGAGCGTGCGCACTTTAGCCAGTACAAGAGTGCCAAGACCTTGTACGACGCTCTAGTTGCACGCTACTCTTCCCATGCCACTGCTGCACTTAGCCGCCTCATCCTGCCGTACCTCTTCCCTGACCTCGCAGCTTTTCCCACAGTCGCTGACCTCATTACGCACCTTCGCACTAGTGACATTCGCTACCGCGCTGCCCTTCCCGCTGAGTTCTGCGCCAAGAACCCGCCCCCTATGTACATCACCCTCTACTACATAGTCACCCGCCTCCCTGACACCCTTCGCCCGGTCAGGGACCACTTCCTCTCTGTTTGCCCCACCACCCTCACCGTTGACCCCCTCGAGGAGCGCCTCCTAGCAGCAGTGAAGAGCATAGTCGCTGTAGGAGCCTCTTGTGGTGACCCTCGCGCCCCTGTCTTTGAGGGGTGCTCCACCTCTCCTCTCTTGCCCTCTGTTGCCTCTGCTGCTGCGGCCGACCTCGTTGGTCTTGAGTCGGTCAGTGCGGCGCCACCCCTAGCCGGAGACGCCGCCCTGGTTAGGGCAAGGAGGGCAGGGGCGCCGGAGGAGCTAGCGGGGGCGGTGGAGGCGGCGGTGGAGGCGGCCGAGGGGGTGGGGGTGGCGGTGGGGGTGGCGGCGGGGGTGGAGGCGCCGGTGGCGGTAGTGGAGGCAGAGGCGGCGGCGGCGGTGGCGGTGGGAGCGGAGGTGGCGGAGGTGGCGGCTGTGGAGGAGGCGGCGGCGGAGGAGGTGGAGCTGGTCCGGGTGGCGCTGCGCAGAGGGTCAGCTCCGGTGGTGGTCAGCGCCAGCAGCAGCGCACTCGTGACATCCCCTCCCTCAGCAGCTTCGTGAGTGGTACGCTGCACGCAAGCCGGGTGGGGGTACTGGTCCGTGTACCTACGTCCTACGCACCGGCGACCGCGCGGGTGAGCAGTGCGGGGGTGCGCACTCCACTCAGCGCTGCTTTGGCCGCCTGACGGACGCTTGGCGTCACCAGTTCCCTGCGGCCACTGAGATCCCTCGCTGGGGCGAGCTTTCTAGGGCGGGAGTAGCTATCTTTGACCTTGACATTGATGCTATTCTTGCTGCCATGTATGCTGTGACTATTAGTGATGAGGGTGACTGTTACCGGTCTTTCCCGCCCGACCTGGGCATTGGGACTGCTGCTCTAGGTACTGGTGAGGCTACTGCTCTAGGTGCTAGCGAGGCTGCTGCTCTAGGTGCTAGTGCGTCTGCTTCCTCAGGTGCTAGTGAGTCTGCTCTCTCAGGTACTGCGTCGGCTTCGGCCTCCCACACCTTCACCATTGACTCGGGGGCTTCTCGCTCCTTCTTTCGAGACCGCACCACACTTACGCCGCTTGGTCGGCCAGTTGCAGTCTCTCTGGCAGACCCCTCTGGGGGTCCTGTCCTTGCTCACTTCTCCACTGTCCTCCCGTGTCCGGCGGCCCCCTCTAGCACCCTGTCTGGTCTTTACCTCCCCTCGTTCTCTACGAACTTGGTGAGTGGTGCTGACCTACAGGATGCGGGGGTTCACCAGTTCACTCCTGCGAGCCAGCGGGTGACCCACTGCACGGACGCTCGGACGGGCCGACACTTGGCCATGTTTACACGCCGGCCGGGGTCGAGCCTGTACACACTGACCACTGAGTCTCCTCCAGTCACTGCGTCTCCTCCAGTCACTGCGTCTGGTCAGATAGCTGCGTTGGGTCAGGTGTTTGCTGCAGCGTCCAGGTCTGATCCTTAGTCTGCCCCCTGCTCATGTCGCCTCCTGTCTCACGAGACTCTCCTCTGGCACCACCACCTTGGTCATCCCTCCCTGCTTCATCTCCAAGGCATGGCCTCCCGTGTCCTTGTCTCTGGTCTTCCCCGGTCCCTCCCTCCCCTTCCTCCGGGGCCTGCCCCTACCTACGTCCCCTGTGTCGAGGGGCGGCAGCGGGTTGCCCCTCACTCCTCCCAGTTTCCTCCGACAGAGGCCCCGCTGCAGACGCTTCACATGGACGTGTGGGGCCCGGCCCGCGTCCGTGGACAGGGTCACGAGCGCTACTTCCTGCTGGTGGTTGACAACTACTCGCGTTACACCACAGTCTTCCCCTTGCGCAGCAAGGGTGATGTCACTCAGGTGCTGATCGACTGGATCTGCGCAGCTCGTCTCCAGCTCAGGCAGAGCTTCGGCTCGGACTTTCCTGTTCTGCGTCTGCACTCTGAGAGAGGCGGAGAGTTCTCCTCTGGCCTTCTGCGAGCCTACTTTCGTGCACGAGGCATCCGCCAGACCTTCATGCTTCCGGACTCTCCACAGCAAAATGGGATTGCTGAGCGCCTCATTGGCATGGTCATGGACGTGGCTTGTACGTCCATGATGCATGCGGCTGCCCCCCATTTTTTGTGGCCGTTTGCGGTTCGGTACGCGGCGCATCAGATCAACCTTCACCCCACGGTCTCCATGCCGGAGACCTCCCCAGCTTTGCTGTGGACGGGGAAGGTTGGCGATGCGTCTGCATTCCGTGTCTGGGGATCTCGGGCGTTTGTCCGCGACTTCTCTGCGGACAAGCTGTCCCCTCGTGCTGCTCCCTGCGTCTTCCTTGGCTTCCCCCCTGACACGCCAGGGTGGCAGTTCTACCACCCCACCTCTCGCCGTGTTCTGTCCTCCCAGGACGTCACGTTTGACGAGTCGGTCCCCTAATACCATCTTTTCCCCTACCGCACTCCGTCCCCCCCCCCGCGACCGCTCTTCCTTGTGCCAGGTCCCCCCCCGGTAGACCCCCCTTCCCCCTCAAGGTCCTGCCCCGTCAAGTGTGTCCCAGGTAGACGCAGTCGAGCCTGTGGCGGTCGCTGGTGACTCTGGTACTGCTGCGGGTGCTGAGCCTGGGGGTGCGGACTCTGGGGGTGCTGAGCCTGGGGGTGCTGAGCCTGGGGGTGGTGAGTCTGAGGGTGCTACGACTAGGGGTGCTGAGCCTGGGGTTGCTGAGTCTGGGGGTGCTGAGCCTAGGGGTGCTACGACTGGGGGTGCTGAGCCTGGGGGTGCTGAGCCTGGGGGTGCTACGATTGGGGGTGCGGAGCTTGAGGGAGCTGGGCCTGCTCGTGTGGCGTCTGGCCGTGCTCGGCCTGGAGGTTCTCCGGGTGCTCCGTCTCGACGGGAGCCACTCTCTCCACAGGAGGTGCGTGAGTGGTTTGCCCGGCGCTGGAGGCGTGCTGCTCGAGCTGGAGGTTCTTCGGCTGCTGAGAGTGCTGGTGCCACGGGTCCCGGAGGTGCTCGTACAAGGAGTACTGGAGCTGCTGGGCCTGCGGGTACTACTGGAGCTGGAGCCACTGCGTCATCTCGTGGTCGGACTGGAGCTGGAACTGCTAAGGGTGTTGGCGCTGAGGGTACTGCTGGCGGTACTGGAGGCGGTCCTGCTGGGGGTGCTACTGGTGCTGATGGAGGTCCTGGAGCTAGTGGAGCTGCTGGGGGTGCTGGAGCTGGCGGTGCTGTTGGCGCTAGTGCAGCCACTGGGGGTACTGGTGCTGTCCCTGCTGTGTCTGGAGTCGATGCGCGGCCTCGGCCGTACTTCGTTCCGCTCCTTGAGCAGGTTCTTTGTCTCCCGCCTTCTACTGGTCCTCCTCCCTTAGAGTGTCCACAGCCTGTCCCGTCACTGCCGCAGTTACAGCCGGCCTCCCCATTGCCTGCTCCTTCTCCCTACACTGGTCCTACCGATAGTCTTGCTAAGCGTCGTGAGCCTGCGTCTCGCCCTGCGTCGCTTGTCCGTGCTGCTCGCGCTAGTGGTCGTGGTTCACGTCAGCGTCCTCCTCCTCTCCCTGGCACGCACCGGATGTCTCTGCGTCCGTCCACTGCTCCTCTGCGTGCCCCTTTGCCTTCTCCTCCTGAGTCTTCTCTTCCTGCTCTTGACGACCCGGAGTCGGACTCTCTTCGTGCTGCCAGTCCTACTGTCACGCGTCTACTTTCTACTGTTGTCACTGACCCTTCCTTTGAGTCCACTGCTGCGTCTGCCCTATTTGTTGAGCTCGTCGAATTTGCTGCTCGCTATCGCCTAGGCTACGCTGCTAGTCTTGTTGCCGAGTCTGAGTCGATGCGCGGCCTCGGCCGTACTTCGTTCCGCTCCTTCAGAAGGTTCTTGGTCTCCCGCCTTCTACTGGTCCTCCTCCTCCCTTAGGGTGTCCACAGCCTGTCCTGTCACAGTTACAGTTATAGCCCGCCTCCCCACTACCTGCTCCTTCTCCCTACACTGGTCCTACTGGAGGTCTTGCTGAGCGTCGTGAGCCTGCGTCTCGCCCTGCGTCGCCTGTCCGTGCTGCTCGCACTAGTGGTCATGGTTCGCGTCAGCGTCCTCCTTTTGTTCCTGGCACGCACCGGATGTCTCTGCGTCCGTCCACTGCTCCTCTGCATGCCCCATTGCCTTCTCCTCCTTAGTCCTCTCTTCCTGCTCTTGCCGACCCGGAGTCGGACTCTCTTCGTGCTGCCAGTCCTACTGTCACGCATCTCCTTGCTACTGTTGTCACTGACCCTTCCTTTGAGTCCACTGCTGCGTCTTCCCTAGTTGCTGAGCTCGTCAACTTTGCTGCTCGCTGTCGTCTAGACTACACCGCCAGTCTTGTTGCTGAGTCTGAGTCTATCTATCCTTCGTCCGTCGGGGGTGAGTGTGCCCTTGGCACTACCGTCTTTGAGGACAGGCAGGAGGAGATTGGCTGCTGCTTCACCTCATCTCGTGTCCGTACTGCTTACCCCTGAGGGAGACCCGGATGCACTTGACATCCCGACTCCGCGCTCATACGCGGAGGCATAAGAGGGTCCCTACTCCTCTCAGTGGCAAGCAGCTATGGACGCAGAGATGGCTTCATAGAAGTCCACAAGCACCTACGTTGACGAGGTTCCCCCTCCTAGGGCGAACATCGTCAGTGGCATGTGGATTTTCAGGGTGAAGCGGCCGCCGGGTTCTCCGCCTGTCTTCAAGGCGCGTTACGTGGCTCGTCGCTTCAGTCAGCGGCAGTGAGTTGACTACTTTCAGACCTTCTCTCCCACCCTGAAGATGACCACTCTTTGGGTACTGCTGCACATAGCTGCTCAGCGTGACTACGAGCTGCACGCTCTTGACTTCAGCACTGCTTTCCCGCAGGGCAGCCTGCACGAGGAGATCTGGCTGCGCCGCCCACCTGGCTTCACTGGGTCTTTTCCTCCTGGCACCCAGTGGAGCCTCCGGCGGCCAGTCTACGGTCTCCGCAAGGCACCGCGTGAGTGGCACAACACACTGAGGACTACACTTGCGGCTCTTGGGTTTGCTCCCTCTACTGCCGACCCGTTGCTGTTTCTGCGCACCGACACTTCTTTGCAGCCGTTCTACATCCTCGTGTACGTCGACGACTTGGTCTTTGCCACAGCTGACACTGCTGGACTCGCCCACGTGAAGTCGGAGCTGCAGAAGAGACACACGTGCACAGACCTGGGTGAACTGCGCAGCTACCTTGGCTTGCAGATCAACCGGGTCAGAGCACGCCGCACCATTACCCTGACTTAGTCACACATGGTGCAGCAGGTCCTTCAGCGCTTCGGCTTCATGTACTCCTCGCCTCAGGCCACTCCTCTGCCTACTCGCCACTCGCTCTCAGCTCTGCCTTCGGATGAGTCCGTAGAGTCGAGTGGCCCGTACCCTGAGCTTGTTGGCTGCCTCATGTACCTGATGACCTGCACACGACCTGACCTTGCATACCCTCTTAGCATTCTCGCACGCTATGTTGCTCCTTGGAGACACAGACCGGAGCACATGGCTGCAGCGAAGAGGGTGTTGCGCTACTCGTGTAGTATGTCGGGCATGGGGCTTGTGCTTGGAGGGCAGAGTCTAGTGGTCCTCACTGGGCACGCAGACGCTTCTTGGGCTGACGACCAGGCTACGCAGTGGTCGTCACAGGGTTACACCTTCAGCCTTGGTTCCGGCTCTGTTTCGTGGCGGGCTACCCGCTCGTCTTCTGTTCTCGGCTCCAATTGTGAGGCTGAGATCTACGTAGGGGCCATGGCTGAACAGGAGCTTCGCAGGCTCACCTACCTGCTGACTGACCTTGGAGAGCCGCCTCGTTCTCCTCTAGTGCTGTACGTAGACAACAAGGCCATGCTGGCTCTGTCTCGGGAGCAGAGACTGGAGCATAGAACGAAGCACATTGCTCTCCGCTACTTCCTTGCTCGTGAGCTACAGCAGCGTGGTTAGCTGCGCCTTGCGTATGTGGCCTCTGAGGCCAACACTGCTGATATCTTCACCAAGCCACTTGCGCCTTGTGATCATCTGTGCTTCTGTACTCAGCTGGGTCTTGTGCCTACCTTGCCTCACTTGCTCACCCCTTGACCTTGTTTGTACTGTTACATATATATACACCTGCTCTTGCTTGTCTAGCCTTATATATATATGTAATCCTGCATATGAACTAGCCTTGTGGCCTTGAACTTGTGCTCGGAATGTGTGGTGACTTTGTGATCCACCCTGAGCTTGCTTTGCTTTGCTTGACTAGTCTTGTGACCCCTTGTTCTCCCCCACTTTGCCTATGGGGGTGTGTCAGATTTATATGACTTAGCTACTGTAGGCTATAGTGGGGTAGCACATATGGGGTACAGCTTTCTAGGGATTGTACTTGTACCCAACTTTCCCTTAGTCATTTCATTCTCGTTTCAGTTTTCTCACCCATAACCCCCAAGGCCAACGTGCCTGTAACCTTTCCCTAGGATCAATCGAGGATCACTAGTGGACCTCTGACACCCCGCCGCACTGGGATGCCTGAAGTGCACACACTGGGATTCGAACCCGAGATCGCTCTGATACCATGTCAGAAACAGTAGCAGAAAAGTTAGAACAACAAAAAGAGGGTTTTGACTAGCAGGCAGTTGAGTACATATAGGAAACCCTAATTTGGCCTATACTCGCTATAGAGTAACCCACTGCAGGCTAGACAAATATAACATTCTGACACACCCCCATAGCCAAAGTGGGGTGTAATCAGCACAACAAGCATGCAAAGCAGTAGTTCACAATGATAAGCAAAGCTAGAGGCTATCACAGAGGGCAAGTGAGGAGGAGGGACTATGAGAGGAGAGCAGGTGGTGGGCGGCAGCTGAAGCTGCTGGCACCCGGCGCAACTGGAGCAACTGGCACATGGGCAACTGGAGCAACTGGCACACTGGCAACTGGAGCAACTGGCACACGGGCAACTAGAGTAATCGGCTCTGCGGCTAGACGAGCGGCAGGAGCAACTGACCCACGGGCGAGAGGAGCAACGAGCTCACGGGCGACTGGAGCAACGGGCTCACGGCCGACTAGCGCAACGGTCTCACGAGCGACTGGAGCTGCTTGCTTCACGGCGGCCACTCCCCTTTGACCTCCCCCATTGGCCCAAAATTCCCGTTCATACACCCCTTGCTGCACCCCTAGCTCCACTCCCATGTCACCCCCCTAGCACCGCTCCCTCGGCTCCCACACACCCACCCCCCTCAGCGGCAGCTGGAGCAGTGGGAGACGGAGGAGGAGTAGGAGCAGGGGACAGCTCACACCCCCGCCACCCCCATAACCGCCACCCCAAGATCCTAACGCAGGCACGGCGGGGCGGGTAGCAGCTGGGGCGGCGTGCGAACGGAAAGCAGGGCGGGGCGTGGGTCCCTGGGGCGCTGCGACGGGGGAAGAACAGGGCGGCGCGCGGGCCCCCAGGGCAACACGTCGGGCGACGGGAGGGGGGCGACGCGCGACCCCTGGGACGCCACGACGGGCGACGAGAGAGGGCGACGCGCGGGCCCCCAGGGCGCCACGAAGGGCGACGGGAGGGGACAGTGCGCGGGCCCCCGGGGCGCCATGACGGGCGACGAAACCGCCGCGCGTTCTCGGGGCGCGTGGCAGTTTGGCGGGCAGAAAACAACCACGCGCCCCGAGCGCGTGGTAGGAAGAAAAATTGAAGATCGCACGCCACGGGGCGCGCAACAGACAGTATGGCAGCAGAAGGAGGCGGGCCTATAGGCCAGGAGCGTAACCGCTCTGATAGCATGTCAGGATCCCAACCACTAGACCATTGGGATAAAAGGGCTTGTTAAGTAGCGGGTCAGTGCGCCCATTGCGGGGATAACTGTCAACGGGAGTTGTGTGTTGGCCCCGTCCTCGCTTGGGCGGAGCCGACATCGTGGTCGGGTGTGAGGGGAGCAGCCGACCTGCAGCAGTGGGCGAGCTGGTTGACGAGGAGGTCGACCTGCACGGGGACCACTGCACGGGCGCCGACTTCAGGGTGGCGCCGACTTTGGGGAGGTTGACTTGGGAGTCGACCTGCGGAGGACGTCAACTTGGTGACGTCAACTTCGAGTGGCCGACGTAGGTGGTCGGCCGACTACTGTGCTGGTCGACGAGGAGCAGGCCGACCAGGAGTGCTGGTCGACGTGGAGCTGGTCGTCGACTTGGGAGGTCGACGGGCACGTACGGGAGCTGCTGGTCGACGTGGTTGCCCGGTCGACCAGGTTACCTGGGTGACGAAGTGCTGCGGAGGAGTGCGACGGTCGCCCAGGCGAAGTTGGCAAGCCCGACCTCGGTGGTGGTATCCCGAGGTCGTCGTGGCGGATCAGAAGCAGTCGTCAGCTCGAGGTTGACGTGGTGTGTGCGCTGTGCAGGTGACGAGACTCTGCACGCCAATCATCTGCGCGCACCTGCGAAGCGGGTGCACTGCTGTTCTGCGTAAGCAACGCTGGCACGCCGTCAACCTGCGACGTTGGCACGCCGTCGACCTTGCCTTGCTGGAGCGCGATCGACCAAGTCGTGTTGGAACGCGGTCGACCAAGCTGCGCTGGCAGTTGGCCGACCTGAATGCTTGCTCTGATGTAGTCTTGCTATGCCAACTTCGTTGTACCATTATTCTGAACTTTTCCTAGTGGAACTCTTGCCAACTTTCCCCGTGAACTAGCAAGTAGTGTGCGCACAAGGAAAACGACTAAGGACTAACGAATGCAGAGATCACACGAGCATCCGTGCCTAGCCCGTAGTCTAGCTCCCGTTGTAGCAGTTATCTCCGCAGGGTGCGGTGAGCGTGGACGGCACACGACTTACCTTTCAGTCAGGTCGACGTAGACACCACTTACCTATTTTGTAGTTGCAGGCCGGCAACTGTGCGGTAGTCACTATGGTAGGAGCCGTAGGTGACGCGGGGGTGGTGGACACCCTAGAGGCACGGTTGGAGAACGCG